ATAACCGCTGACATTTTACGAAGACGATATCTATCAACACGTACAGTGAGACGACTGTACTTTGGAGTGGGTAGGTTTTATATGATAATAACCTAGAGAGGAAAAAAATATATTTTTTTATATTTAGACTGTTTCACATAAATATCAATAGAAAGGAAAAATACATGTGTTCAAAAACGTGCACTCCTTTGAAAATTGCCAAATTGTCCAAATTTGAGTAAACCTATTTGGCTGAATTCAATAATTTAATAATAAAGTATTTTTCTGCGATTTTCATGAATATTCTAAAATACAGCAATATGAAAAAATTATGATCATTTTTACTCATATTCCAAGTATATCTAAAATATATCAGAAATTATGGGATATCATCGCCAATATTTTTTTGAAGTTGCCTAACACTTGCACTTTCTAAAAAAATATTGGCAATGACATCCGATTAATTCGGATATTTGAAATATGAGCAAAAATGATCACAATTTCTGCATATTGCTGTATATCAATAATGACAACTCCAATTATTTCAGGTTCATTAAGCGCTGGCATATTCATCGTTGCTGCTGGTTACGCCARKACAGCATCCCTCGCCATCGTTCTTATGTGTGTGGGCGTGGCATCGTCAGGACTATTGCAYTCTGGGTATAATGTCAATATGTTGGATATTGCACCTGGTTATGCATGTGTTATAATGGGRATGTGTAATACTTTGGGTACTTCCGCAGGGTTTCTAAGTCCAATGTTAGTTGGATTTCTTACGGCTAACAAGGTATGATAGCTATACGAAGAACTAACCAATCAATCAATCAATCAATCAATCAGTTAATCAATCAATCTGTCAAGATAATAACGTTTTCCTCTATCTTCATTGTCTTACTCTTTCTTCAGGAAGCCAAAGAGTGGCGCACTGTATTCTGGATAACATTACTAATCTATGCACTTGGTACAGTAATATTTTGTTTGCTTATGTCGGCTGAAGTACAACCATGGGCTAAAGAAACCCTTAAAGAACACAAGCAGGAGAAAAGCCCCCYTCCCTTAGACGACAGCRCAGACACCGAAAAGGACGCCAAGGACGCCATTTGATTCCTAGCTGAACTGCCGTTGCTAAGGATATTTATCGTTGCTAAGGTCTAAGACCGCTGCCTGGCAACACTCATATGATCGACTTGGTCGAGGGTAGCCATGACAATTCAATTCTCGGAAACTATCGTTGCTAAGATCGAATTTTAATTGTTGAAAAGAACTTAAGCTGCTGCTAAGCAACACTGTACAAACGACTTGGACGAAGATCGACAGGGAAATTTGATTCCCAAAAACTATCGTTGCTAAGGATTTTTTGATCCCTAGCAACTACAGCCGTTATAAGCTGGCAACCGGGTGAATGGCAGCCGTCAAACGGTGGAACGTGAGTTGTTCAAGAAGGGAACAGGAGACAAAGGATCCCTGATGAAAATAAGATTCATCACAGAGTTAACACAACAAGAACGAAGATCAAAGTTCGAAAAAAAGTCTAGAATTATTTCAACATTTGATTTATTTATTTAGACTTTTAAAGTAACAAAATGTCTTTAGGAAGTTCTCCGAACATTTATTGTCAGAGGAGTCAGAGAGTTTTCACTGTAATATATTTTCGTATTGTAAAAATTGACAAGAAACAATAAAATCTAAAGTGTTAAAAAAAAAAAATTCCTTATTTTTGCCATGGTATATCATTCGTAAAAATGGTCTGATAATTGTCAGGAAAAAATTTAGTAGAACGAGTCAGCAACAAACCTCCCAGCGTGTGATCTTTTTAACATCATAAGGTGAATTTGAAAATAGCAGGATACTCTGAAATACGGTCATTTGGAATTAGGATACTCTTAAATAAGGTCGATATAGTCGTGAATTCTTTTAAGAACACTAGATATAATGTTTACACACTAGAGTATACTCAAAGACCTGYTTGAGAGATAGAWGATGCTTGTTGCTYGCACGAAACAGTGTGGAATACAATACTTTATGACGGCAGTTTTTAGGCCTTGATTCCTTGATACTTTCATCAACCCCATAGTGCTTCTCGTAGAGCATCAGACAACTGAATCAGACATCATTGTCATGCAACTCACACTAGTTGCTCCCTAGCGCAAAGATGCCCTAAAGGTAAGTTCTCCTTTAAAATAGACGACCAGGACGACGTCCACCTCTGTAAAGCGGCCATTATGATTAATCAGACACCCCTATACAGCGACCATCATTCGCGCAGTACAATGATAACGCGACTTTAAAAACGCATCTCATTGAAAATAGCACCTCAACACGTCGATCACTTCTTAAGAATACCAGTTTAAATGATCTACTAATGCTAAAAATAGTCTTATCTATTTAGACTTTTATGACCACCTTATGCATGAAATTATTTATACCTCTTTAAAGCGGTCATCATATACATCAATCCCTTCTAGACAAACCGCTATTATGCAACAGTTATGACCAGACGAGGCGCCCTCTGTAAAACGACCTGTGGTCATGTGATCTACCTGGGGAGTAGCACCACCGTTATTAATGATTGTAAATAAAGTTTGAATATATGAATAGATAGTTATATTATATATAGTGTTAAATGAGTATAAGTGTATATTTCTGTACCGATATCGATCAATTAAGAACTGACCCAAAATGGTGAGTTCAAACCTGCTCTCACTTGCAGGTAAGGTCAGATTTAACGCCTCATCGCTGGTCAAGAACTAYTGATCCAGCGAGGACTTTTCTCGATTGTCATCGATGCAATAACTGTRTTTACAGGGCMAAAATACAAAATATACTCCTCTTTTGACTAAAAAACAYCGTTCAAAAGGACTCAAGTATGGCCTCGATAGAAGCGGGTTGAGATACTTCGATTCATCCTTGATAAAAACGGCGAATTCAGTTCCATTTGCCACTCGACGAAGATCAAGTTCACATTTTTTTTATTGTCGCATAGATGGTTTAATATTTTTAGCTTTCAGTCAAAATGTTTAGTTTTATTCCCAAACGATACATTCTCTCTGGTTTGATCTTCGCTGGGTTTGTCATCATGTCAGGGCTGAGAGCGAATTTGAACGTTGCTATCGGTGCCATGATAGGCAACCATACGATCAACGTTGACGGCAAGGACATCGTCAAGGTAAGCAAAATAGTAAGAATTATAAAGCAATATCATAATAACTCTATCTACAGTTAGATGCCTTGTAAATGAAAATACTGTAAGCTATTGTTTATATACCGGCTCTCATGTCGATATACAAAACATTAATTCTGTCAAAGTGATATATCTATACGGTATATATTTTTTGAAAGCACACAGACATTTAAAAATTGTTTTGTGCTGTTTGCGCCGTAACATTTACCCAATTTAAACTCGTGAAAGAAACTGTACTTGTTTGTACAAAAAAGTGCTATCAATCACAATAATAAACAAACAATTTAGACCCCAATATTTTAGCACCAATTATTGTCCCTTTATTCATAATCCGAGACAGACAAGACAATGAAAAAAAAAAACAAAAAAAAACAAAAAAAAAAACAAGGCAAAACAAAACAAGTTATAAAACGGAACAAAAAAACATCAGAGAAATAAACCACGAGTTGTTTTCTTTTGAGTCTATTCGGTTATCAAATTTTGCTTGTTTTTTGCTATATATTAGAGACGAGTTTTAAAAATGTACTTACTCGAGGGCGTGTACTTGAAACCGAGTGGATTTCTTAAGACAGCAGTAATAATGAAATGAAATGATAACTCGAAGTTTGGCTTTTCTGCACTTTCCTGACAATCACTTAATAAATATATATCGCTATTTCAGAAAACGGTAAATATGATACGGGATAGTATATTTCCAGATCGAAATGCCTTGTTGGTCGTTATATTATCACTCAAAACAAGTTGTCGTGGTTTCAGTGTGGCTATATATGCATCAGTACTTTCGGAGAACAATGCGTCCTCCATCTTGAAAAGTGGGATTGAAACACAAAATCATGACTCCTAAAGGAATTAGAGCATTCTAAGCTAATTTCAAGGTAATATAAGACGATATAATGATAAATTATTTGACGTATCAACTACGAAATGTGTTCTAAGGCACAACATAGTGATTCGGGTCTCACTTCTCAAGATGACCGATGCATTATCCTCCGAAAGTACTGATGCATGCATACCAGCTCCGTACAGTCAAAAGCTTCGATGGAAAGCAATTAAGTTTGTCATTTTATAACGCAGCTAACAAAGACTTTAATAACAACAATGCATTGCGGTCGTATTTGTTTCACGAAATTAGGCAGGAACAACCCAAACTACCTCATACAGTCACATTATCAAGCTGAGTCTTCTGTGTAGTTTTACTTTTTCATTATCGATTGCTCCTGTTCTATTTTAGCGTGGAGAATTTAAGTGGGACTCAAAGATGGAAGGTAATGTGCAATGTATATTCATGGACAGCGGTGCATTTTTTCCATTTGCTTTCCAGAAAACTGGGAAAATAACGTGTACTATCCCCCTCGTGAGAATGGAAATTCAATACAATGTTATTTTGACCCCTATACTAACACCTTTTGGCAGTGTCAAGTAATATTTTCATAGAATCACTGCATGAATCATTTTCATAGAATCAATGCATTTTCGAGGTTCCAATTCATGTGTCAACCTACGGAGGTCGTTAGCTTCCCAACCAAAACTAGGCCACGCGGACGCTGATATTTGCACCCTTGACTAGCTACTATTGCTGGTACTAGTGTTTTTGCACCCTTTAGATTACTTCAAGATCGACTTTTTACTTGTCATAATTTAAATCTTTAAAAGGTTCAAAAGATTTTTTGCTATGTGTGTATTTCACCCTTCGCAGAAGGTTTGAAGTAACGTTTAAAGTCCGACAATGAGGACTGGGCGGGATTTCAAGTCCGCGCAATTCAGTAGTTCCAGTCCGAGGAGTACCTCCTCTGGATTCCAGTTACTGCAAGTGGTACAAATTACAATCAGGGATTGGCTGGATACCTAATGAATAATTAATGAGCATGAGAAGGGTTCTCCACCATTCCTATTTCCAGAGACTTACAGGATATTTTCTATTTTGTACCCTATAGGTGTGATTCTAGGAGCGTTCTACTATGGTTACATGGTGTTCCAAATACCTGGTGGTGTACTAGCTATGAGGTTTGGTGGTGCCAAGCTGTTTGGCGTCGGCATTGGTATTGCCTCCATATTAACTCTTCTAACTCCTCTTGCTGCTCGCCTGTCCCCAATTGCTGTCATCTTACTCAGAATTGGCGAAGGACTTTCCCTGGTAAGATAAAAGCTATGTTTATTACGGATATTCGGGAATTCTCCCGGTCCGAAGGGTGCAGAAGTGGTTTTAATTAAACGCTGTAAAGGAAGAGGATGCAAAAATTAGAAATGTGTTTACAAAAGTCTGTTTTGTTCCCCCAGGGTGCGTTATTTCCCTGTAACCACGCAATATGGAGCCACTGGTCTCCACCGGAAGAAAGAACTACATTGGTGACGGTGTCTGTAGCTGGTTGGTATTGAGTCTAGCACAGGAAACCCAACCTCAAAGTGTTTCCCTACTGATTTTTTTAACCATTTTGTAGGTACCAGTGTTGGCTATCTCATTACCATGCCTATATCCGGTATTCTTACCAAATATGGGTTCGACGGTGGTTGGGGTTCGGTATTTTACTGCTTTGGTAAGTCATACTACTTGTATGAAGCTTAGGACTCGTCCACACGAATCTATAAGAGATTTTTGTTTCCGTATACAGTCATCTCCGCAGACACAAAGTCTACAAAGTGGAGACGTGTGCACGGGTGCCACCACTGAATGTCCTAATAATAATATTTTCAAATTTTCAAATCTCTGGACTAGTGTGGACTGGACTTGGCCTTAGCGTGATATAATCTAGAAAGTATTTATTAAAAAAACAAACCAATAGCTATAGGTTTATTAATCACGCACGAAAGAATTGAAGACAAGGGTCAGGCTACATAATAGATAATTCTTGCTTCCCTCAGAGTCTTTAAATCCTTTCTGACCACTCAACCAGTATATCCAAAATAATATTGATTTGATTGACAGGTGTTTTTGGCTTATTATGGTATATGATATGGTTACTATGTGTACACGAAACACCCGATGACCATCCGAGTCTCTCTGACGAGGAGAGGCTAATACTATCGCACAATGACAAGGACTTGCGATCCAAGGTAATTACCTAATTTGTTCATGAAGTGATTTAGTTTAGACTGCAATCGTTGACAAAATCTTTGGACCATTCCAACAAATGTCCTCACTTTAAGCAACACCAGCAGACAATTCCACCCCCCCCCCCAAACCCCTTAATGCAATGTTGTTATTGAGCATGTTACCATAGTACACAAGCATCCAAAACAAGACCCAACATTGATGAAAGGGGGCTAAGGGGGAAAACTGTGAAAAAAATAAAGGCGAAAAATGTTAGGCTGGAGAATAATAATTTTATGGTTCAAGGCTTTTTGGCAACGATTGTGGGATTAATTGAAAAATCTTTTTAACTTTTGTTTAAGTTGTTTTACTTAGGAAGCCCCTTCAAACGTCATCGACTTGATTACGTCAAGCTGTCCTCTCGTGTACTATTTATGATGATATGCTCGATCCTCAGACTATTTTCTCAATACACCTTATTCCCGTTCAAAGTGAGAATTCACTGTTTTAGTTGACAACAGGCTCTCTAGTTCAAAGACCATTCCAAAACAAACAAAAAACCGAAAGGACGAAAAATTTTGTGATTACAACAATTCTACACGTTTACATTCTCTYGKATTTGAGGCTAAGCTTGTATTCCTATAAGGMATAAACTCAAGGTCTTGTGGGAATATAGTCTTAGCTTCAAATCGGAGAAGATTCAAATTTCTAGGACTATTGTAATACCAGCTTTTTTTCTCGTGCTTCCTTGGTTTTTGGTGAGGTCTTTATACGCAAGTGAGTGTTGGCTACTATAACAGTGGTCCCTCTCTTTGAAAGGGAATAAAGCGTATTGGAAAAGTAGTTAGTAATTAGAAATTGCATTTATTTTCCAAGAAAAGTCAGCACTGAATCTCTTCATTCGTTGCTTAAATAACAACTTGCTCTTGTCATTAGGTTGGTAATCCTGAAATACCTTGGTTTAAAATACTCAAGTCTGCTCCAGTGTGGGCCATCATCGCTGCCAATTTCGCATTGGATTGGTCGTTTTACGTTCTTCTGATTTCATTACCGAAGTTCCTTGTTGAAATATTTAATACAGAGATACATACCGTGAGTAGAACATTAGTTGTGTCGGGTATGGAGGATATTACATGGGGCGGAGATACCGATTTATTGAAGATCTCTGAAGAGTGAGAGCAAAGAGAGGATAAAATCCATATCTCCAAGCGCTTGTGTAATATTCTGCTTACCATGAAATTCAATGAAAGTAAAATATAACTTGTCTACCAGTGTATGGAGGGCATTAAGATGGGCCGTGCACGGGGATGACGATCGATTTTATCTAAAAGTGCTTGGCAAGATCCAAAACAGTGATCGAGCACAGCGAGAGGATGAAATCCGTATCTCCAAGCGTTCATGTAATATTCAGTTTATAAAATCCAGTGAAAGTATATCATCCTTCAAAACAATGTTTATGTAACTCCTACGAAAGAGGTGTTATGGTAAGTTTCAGTCTTTTGTGGCGAAAACGTGACCAATATTCTATTCCCACTCTTGAATAAGTTATATAAGGATAATTATCTAATAATGACTTTTTCAGCAATGCATTTTCATACGCCCATTAACTCCATGTCAAAGTAAATTCATCTGGAGGACAATCAAAA